AGGCGCACGGAGCGGCCGCGTTTACCTGAGTTGGAATCTTGCTGCTTTTCCCGTGTCCGTCTCTTCTTTTTCCCCTGGGAAAGCAAAGGCAAGGCTGTTAGTCCATGTGCTCCACAGGGTTTTGGGGCTGGATTGGGCAGCCAACCTATTAACATTTTAATTAACTGATAATTTAATGAATAGATTTAACTAGATGGATAGAATTAAACAAGATTTTCCGCACGCAGCGGAGGCAGTACGATCAGCAGCCGATCCTCCCAGCCTATTCCTGTTTCTCCTCCTGTTTCTGAAAAGCACTCGGCCCATTGTAGCACCTTCCCCATGTCCCATAAGTGCTTTAATTTCTTACACCTGAACAGAAATCGCTCCACAGCGTGTTGTCAGGGGGAGCATCCCCGATTTCAAACAGGAACAAAAGTTTTAGGGAATTCCCAGAGCCTTATTGTTACATGATACTTATGTCAGTGCTTTTGCAGCTCTCAGCCCATCTCTCATTCTTCTGTTTGTTTCCCTCACTTACGAGAAACCCCCATTTTCTCCCCAAACTCTGACTCACAACACACAACTCCCCTCATCTCCTAACGAGCCTGTTAACGAGGGGCACACCTGTGCCTGCTCCCCGCCGGCCGGGCTACCTTCCATCCCGGACTTTTTCTACGACTTCTTGTGGTTTGAGTGAAGGTGGAAAGCTCAGCGCTGCCGTAAGCTTTTGCTTCGGTGTGGGAGCAACTGTATTTCCTGCCTGATATCCGCATCACGTGCTGCACAAGTGACCTACATCCCTCCTCCTCCTCTTTTTCCTCCTCCCTGCTCAAGCTCCCGGGGCGAAAAGCATCACCTGCAACCACCACAAAACCCGAAGCAGCTGCTTGGCTGGTGCTGGGAGAGCCAGTGTGCACTTTTGGAAATGGGAGGGAGGGAAAACTCTGCTGGAGCAAAGACCCAGCCCATGCCACGAGGAAGGATGCTGCGGGATTGCCAAGGTGCTGCCCCGCTTTCTCTAAGCTCGGCTCTGGAGCCTTTGCTCAAATTGCTTTGGGATACTTTGACCCTGGCACGCTTGATTTGGTCAGGGTCCGCAAACAATGATGGGGCAGGGTGGGACCAGAGGGACAGACAGACTTGGTGACTGTCACCCTGCAGCACCCGGGGCTGCTGCTTGGGGTGCAACCCCATGGAGAGTCCGAAACGGGACCCGAACAGCCTGCGAGACCGAGGTGCGCACTACAACTCGCACAAAGCAGCGTACACTTGCCTGTTTTGCCCTTTTAACAATTATTGCCCATTACTATGATGCTCCCATGAGCACTGCTGGGGCAGACACCCTGTGCTCGCTGAAAACCCGCAGCCAGCAGCTCACAATTCGGCAGATCCCTCCCAAGCCCCCCCAAACCTGCAGCGTGTCCTTGGGCTTGGCCCCACAGAACCCGCGATACCCAGCCCAATAATTTCAAGCTGATAAACAAGGTGCTACCGCAAAGCGAACGGAGCTGAGCAGGCTGGGGGTGCCCCATCAGCCCACCTCAGCCATCCCACCCCCCATTTCTCCTCCTGCATCTCTGCCCCACGCTCTGCTCCTGCTGGGCAGGGATCTCCGCTGCTGCCCGAGGTGCTCGAAGCGGTGGGTTTCCATAAAAATTATATTTCCAAAGATGATTCACATCACTTAAAAGTTCCTCTTCCCTTCTACTTGTATTTACCTGGACAAACGGTGTGTATGAGTTGCAACATTCATGCAATGGGGAACAGCCAAGAGAATCAGAGAGTCACAGAATGGTTTGGGTTGGAAGGGACCTTAAAGGTCACCCAGTCCCACCCCCCTGCCATGGGCAGGGACACCAGAATATTCAAAATATTCTTGAATTGTGAATTTCTATAGGTACTGTGCCACCAAGAATGCCATTACCAGGGGGGATGTTTGGCAAACACCAGTTGTCACCCGTCCCCTGGGACACTTCTAGCCATGCCATGGGGAGGGGTCCGAGACGCGGCACCACTCACGTAGTTGTCTCTGGCAGACCAGCCGGGGTAGAGCTGCATGTGGAGCTGCCGTTCCTTGCGAGCCAGTTCATAGTACTTGGCCTGCTCCTCCCGGGACAGCGCGTGCCACTGCAAGGACAAGGACAGAGGTGAGACATGGCTCCGATGTCCCCACTCAGCCCATCCCCACCACGGGGCACATCTGACTCTGCGAGTTTAAGGGATAAGAGCTCCCGGTTTTGGGTGCAGATGTTTGTGACGCGCTGGGGAGCAGCAGCAAGGGACAGGGACACTGCCGTGGGACGATGGCTCTTACCCTCCTTCCCAGGATCTGGTTGATGGCAGCGCTCTCCTTCAGGGTGCACTCGGCGATGACTTTCGCCCGCATTTCTTTCATATACAACATGAAAGCGTTCAGGGGCTTCTTGATAGTGGGCTTCTTGGCTTCCTTCTCTCTCTTTGGTTCTGGTTGAGGTTTCCTATGGTGGGACCAAAAGAGGAGATGTCAGCATCAAAGCCACCCTCCAGCCCGGTGGCACCAAGCTCAGCAGAAGCCTTGATGCCAAACCCACCCCACGGCAGGAGCTGAGATCTGCACCGTGGATGCACACCATTGCCTGGTGCAGGCACAGCTTGGTGCTCACCCATCCTCCGCCCTGGGCAAGCACAAAAAGGGACAAATGAAATGGGCATTGAGGCGTTAACACTGCCGGCATTTCCAACTCACATGTTCCGGTCATAGTGCTCCATCTCTTGCTTGCCGGAGTGGGGCACGATGGCGGGGTGCGGGATGCCGGTGGTGTGCATGCCAGAGCCCAGCATCAGCGGGTGAGTGAACCTGCAACAGAGAGCGGATGAGCCGCGCCGGGAGGGCTGCGCCGGGGATGCTCGGGATGCAGCTGGAGCGGCGTGTCGCACGAGGTGGCACTCGGACGTGGCAGAAGCAAGACGGTAAGCGGAGGACACGGAAAGCAAACCCACGGGTGCTGGCGGGGGACACGGGGCGGAGCCCCCCCCGCCGCGGGGTTGTCCCCGCCACGCCGGCAGCGGGAAAAGCATCTGGGTGCCGCTGCGAGGAGCCCAGCCTGCAGCAGGAACAGCCTGATCGACACCGTGGGCGCTTTCAACCAGCGGTTTGCAGCTACTCAGAGCTCTGCTGTTGCCATTTCTTATTAGCACGGCAGCAAGGAACAACCAACTCAACGCAGGGTTTGGATGGGAGAGGTTAGGACCACCCCACGCCTCTCTTTGAACAGAAATCGCCTAAGTCTGAACATGACCCAAGCTGCGACTCTAGGAGGTGCACCTTGCCTAGGCAATGCTCTCCACCAACACAGGGCTGAGATCACAAGAGGTCTCGCTAGCTTTCAAAGCTTCATTAGCTCGCTCTTGAGAGTTTTGGAGGGTAAAGCCAGCGCCGTCAGCTTTGCCAAGCTTGCCACTTAATGACTGCAGCTTGAGATGGCAGGATTGCCCATGGGAGATGAACCGTTCATTAGATATGCTGGCACAAAAAGAAAAGCTGTTTAATTTAATCCACCAGCACAGGCTGATCCTTATCTGCCCAGGTGTACTTTCTCGGCTGCAGCAGCGCTGCAAAATCTGCCCCAAAATCTGTGAGCAGGAGCTCCCGTGCTGGGATCGCGGAGGCTGTCGGGCTTCCGCAGGGAACCGTTAGCTCCTCTGTGGCCTTGGCCTTTGAGGCTGGGCAAAGGGATGCTGCAGAGAGTACGGAGGGCTGGCAGCGCTCCCTCGCCCCTGCTGCAGGGGTTTGCACCGACCCAGGGCTGCACGGATTGAGGTTTCTGCACGGGTACGGGTTGGTATGGCTATGGGTTTGCACAAATAAGGGTTTGTATGGTTGTCCTGCAGGAATCCTCCACTAACGGCTCTTCAGGACAACACGAAGCAGAAGCGAAAGCCGGTGCAAGAGCACACGCAGCGTGCACAGACATCCTGCGGCGCTGCCGTCCTCCTGCAGCCACGGGGGCTTTGCCCACCAGCACGCCCGGAGGGGCCAGGCTCTGCGATTTCCATCCGCAGGGGAGGTATTCTGCTCACCAGGACATCACTGGCGTCTGGGTACGTTTACAGAGGGCAAAATTTGGTCCTGGGTGACCGGAATCTTGCAGAATGAATGGTCTGGGGCTGTGTTAAATGCTCTCAGAGGGCTGAGCTGTGCTGCTGGGAGCCCGCTGCCTGTCCTGCTGTTAAGGCTGAGATCGAGTGAAACAGATCGGTGTCTGCAGAGAAAAACTCTGTGGTGGTGGTGGCAGGGATATATTCAGGGTTAGTGACCAGGAGCAAAACCCTGCACAACAGATTTCACCCCGTTTTCCCAATGCTGAGCTGCAGGCAGGGGTTTCTGGCTTTGTTTTGACTCCAGCTGCTTCAAACCCCATCGCTGGGCATCCTCCCGGGATGCTCGCTATTCCCTTTGGACCAGACCCTGCCTACAAGCGCCTTCTCTCCCCACGGCTGGCCGGGGAAGGTGCGTGGCCGTGGTCTGCTGCAAGCTCCTGGTGCACACACTGCAAGCTGCGGGAGCAGCCGAGCCGCTGCCCTGCCTCACACGGCTCGTACTCACCTGGAGAAAGAAGCCCCAGCAGAGAGCGCGGACGAGTACGGCTGCCTAAATTAAATCCACATGACGGGAGCGAATAGACAGACTGGCTCTGCCTGGGATCGGGAAGAAAGAGTCTATCAAGTATCCACAGCTACGGGGAGGTTCCTACAGATATCCTGCGCTAAGGGGACTCGGAGCACTGACAGCCCAGGAGCTCTGCTGGGTGGGATGCTCAGGGTGTCCCCTGGGCTCAAGGGGGACTTGGATTTGATTTTGGGGGAAGCTGGATCTCCCTGCAAAGGTTGGATGCGACTCTGACCCCACCCTCTGTACTCGGTGCTGAGTAACGCTGCAGCTTTGAGTTTATCCTGTTAAAAAGCAAAACGCGGAGGTGTGCTGAAAAATTAGGAGATGTTGCTATTGCACAGAAGAAGTTGCTTAAAAGAGAATGGTTTGACCAAAAAAAACCTAAAACCTGCTCAGAGTCTCTGTGCGATGCACGGGAGGCGGCACGGTCGCAGGCTGCACTGGGAGGGTGCCCAAGCACAGGAACCTCCTGGTGTCCAGAGAGAAAGGATCTTATTCTGCCCTCGTACGTGCTTCAGAAATGCTTCAGTTTCCCCACCGCATCCCTAAACGGATGCCCGTCATTTTTAAACAAGCCAAAAACTCGGTCCTACGTTTCTTTTGAAAGTTGTTTCATCCTGGGGACTGGGCATGTACCAAACCTGGAGCTGGAAATTACTTTTGAGATAGTAAAATCACTATTCAGGAAGTTCCTTGTTGTTCCCAGCAAGGGAAACCCCCCCCAGCCTATTCAGGAAGTTCCTTGTTGTTCCCAGGAAGGGAAACCCCCCCCAGCCCGTTTTCACAGGGAGGTAGCTCAGGAATACCCTGCCTTGTCCTGCAAACCTCCTGAAAGATGCTCCCAGCCTAAAACTGTGCATGGAAACCGAGATGCCCGAGGAGGATGTGACAGGATGCTTAAACCCGTGCAGATGCTTCTGTTCCTCCAGCCAGGCTGCACAGAACTGTGCCCAAGACCTGGACGAGCTCATTTCAGCTCTAATAAGCAAAAAAAAAAAAAAAAAAAAAAAGCCCGTGGAAGGATTCAGCCCCTGGATGCCAGGGATTTCTCAGTTCAGTCTCTGCCCTGCAGAGGAGTAAGGACAGCAGTCAGGCCCCTGGGGCCGCGCTGGGGAGGAAGGAGGGTTCTGCTTCTGCCGCTCAGGGAGCTGCTGGGCCTCGTCCGGACCGAAATCTGCAGGATCTGTCTGCAGGAACGGCAGCGGCGGGGCTGTGTTTACACCCTGCCAGGCAGCAGCCCTCTCCCACCCCTTAGATGTCGGCAGGTAAAACAGCCCAACAAACAGCCAAGTGCTACCGAAACAGCCTTTGAAGTCCAACGCGGCTGCCCCAGGGCTGAGAAAACACTCGGAGCTCATCCAGGAGCGACAGGCGTTCCTGCAGAGGATGGGATATCGGATAGAAACGGAGCCGGGCACTCGTGGCTTCATCCGGAGCGATTCTGACGTGCGAATTAATGCAACCACAGAATCCATCCCTGATGGCTGGGAATGCATGATCCCAGCCCCATCACCCGGTGATGGGATGGTGACTGGAAAAAGGCCCAGGACAGCTGTGGGGGGGCTGCTGCTGCTCGCCCAGCTCACAGGCTCCGGCTGATGGCTGCTGCCAGGCTCCTGTGAGCAAAACTCACTCGACTGGACTCTCGGAGGCTTTTATCCGACTGTCTTCCCAGCTAATTACACAGAGAGGGATTGCAGCTCCTCCTCCCGAAGCACTCGGCGAGAACAAAGCCTGTTTCTGCCCAGCTCACGGAGGTAAAACTGCTTCTCGCGGATGGCTTGGCAGTGCCAGGGTGAGCATCCCCGGCACGAGCATCCTCGACATGTGCATCCCTGGCATGGGAATCCTCAGCACGAGCATCCTTGGCATGAGCATCCCCAGCACACAGCCATTGCTACTGCTGCCTCCTGCACGGGGCCAACGCTGCCACTTCTGCACCCCCCCGCCCTGATGTGCTGAGCCCTGGCTGAGGACTGGACACTTCAGGAGAGGTTTTGGGGCTCTTTCTGTAAATTTTGGGCAGGCAAAAGGATGAGCAAAGGTTCTATTACAGACACACGTGCTTGGAGGTGCTGCTCTCCGCTCCGCCGGGCCGGTTTGCCGTTTGGAGCTTTACCCTATCTGCTGGATTAGTCACTAATGAGCGCGTCTGACGAGGTTGCCCGAGGATGCCAAACCCCACAGATCCCAGAGCAGCTCTCAGCAATGCAAACTCCCTCCGCCACCAACCACTGACAAAACCTCGGTGCAAACCAGACTGCTTCCCCTCCGCGCACCCAGGGCTGAAGCCCCGAGCAGCATCCCACCCCAGGAGTGGACCTCGCACTGGCACACGGGCTCCTTTCTCCCCCCCGACTCCTCCTTTCACGTTACAGCACAGTCACCCCAGTACTTGTTTTTCCTGAGGATGAATCACACCATACGAGGAGTTAAATCATTGCCCAAGAGTAGCAGATTTAGCACAGAAAGCAAAATGTAATCTCTTTGAAGCCCAACTCTGTATCAAAGGCCTGAGCTTCTGTTTCCTTGTGGTTAAATATCTGGAACATGAAATTCATCAGCGAAACACAACCGAAAGCTAACATTCTACCTGGTATTTGAATGTGCTTCACCTCTCCCATTTTGCAATACGTCCGTGTACCCGGAGGTCTCCGCTGGGCTCCGCCGGGGTTTGATCAGCCGGCACCGGGGGGATCTGCCCGCCAGCCCCCCGCAATCTCCCCACACTCCCCCCATCCTGGCCACTCTGACCCACCACCAGCAGCCACCAGCCTCTGCCAGGTCCCTGTGTCACCGACCGGGATTAAAAACTAACCTGAGCAGTGACGATGCCCACACGGCACCGCCCGCCTGACCTGCTCCTCACTGTGCTTACCGTCACCGGTGCAGTGACCAAAGCCAGTGACAATGACCACAGAGGACATCCCTCATGGCCCTGGGGCAGGTTTCCTAACCGGCTCGGCTTTGCGGGATGCTCCTGGGGCTGGCCCATGCAGGAGGGACTTTTGGGGAGTGCTCCAGCTCCCTGTCCCTCCTCCCTGTCCCCCCCGGCGCAGCGGGTGCCACCAAGTTGGCTGTGCCATGGTCAGGCTGTGGCTATCGGGGTTGTTCGCCGGGGCAGGTCTCTGTCACCGTGTATTTTTTCCCTGCGTATCAGACCCCAAGAGGCACCATGTCCTGGCAGATGGAGCATCCCGATGAATTGCGCCACTGCAGCGTGCTCAGGGAAAGCACTGTTTGTGCTGGAAACTCCAATGGGGGAGAAAACAACCTCCTGCTCAAAAAGAGAGGCTTTTGCTGCGATGAGGGAGGTGGGGAGGAAGCTCTCCCCAGTTTCCCAACCCGCACAGGCAGCTGGGTGTAAGGCAGGAGGCGGTTTGGGATGGGGCAGGTTGTAACCTCGCTCCAGGGATGCTCCGGCCAGGACAAAGCCTTCAGCCTCGCCATGGATGTGCTCCCCATCCCTAAACCAGGGTAAATCCGTCTCCCCATCGCCCAGCAACAGGAGGGATGAAGCCGGGGTGAAAGCACCGTGGAGGCCACGGAGAACGGCTGCATGTGGTTTGTTCAATAAACCGTCCCCGGCACGGAGCAGCCGGGACCGAGCCCTCTGCACTCACCATCCCATCGACGGCGTGATCTGTCCGACGCCGCTGGGCGGGAGGGGGTAGAATCCGGGGATGTCTGAGGTCTGGGAAGGACGGTGCACTCGTGGGAGAAAGGAGAAGGGAGAAGGAGGTGAGTTGGACCCAGCACGGTGCTCCCCGGCTGACCCGGACTGCTCCCGACCCCCTGGCTGCTCTATGGGCTCTTGTGCAGGGAACAGCTCTGAAATGGCTGTCTGCAAGCAGCAGGATATTTCTATTTCCTTTTTATTGCTGTGGTTCTCTGTGGGGATGTGGTGGGTCACCCATGTTGCTGCAGGAGCACAAACACTCCTGTCACGGGGTGGGGATGGTGGCTTGCTCCGGCACGAGCATCATCCCTGCTCCGTGCCACCTGGGGCCCAGCAGCAACTTGCTTTGGGAAGAGGTTGGATGGACTCCAGACATCCCTCTGCCCTTCCCCAAGGGCCCGTTAAGCTGCACAGGCAATGGTCAAAGCCGTTCCTACGTCCCCTTCTCATGGGTCACCCCTGGGACCCCCCAGGAGTGACCAGTGGGGATGCTCCAGCAGGGATGCTCCAGCAGGGATGCTCCAGCAGTCATCACTCCGGTCTCTATTTTTAAACCATTTGAGTCCTGTTCAAAGTAATGGTTTCACGGGCTCTGTGGGTGCCAAGGAGCGGTGGAGGTGGGTATGCTGCCAGCTGGGAATTCACCCTTCACATGGGGAATACCTGCGTGAGCTTCAAAGCCGCTGGCACGGGCGGCGCGGCCGGAGGAGACAGCCGCAGCATCGCTCTGTGTCTATCTGGAGCTGAAAACATCCCACAGAGCCCCGGGGCTGCGGGTGGGACACAGACAAGCGCGGTGCTGCCGGCAAAACCAGCCCCTGGCTACCCCCCAGACTGGAAAAGCGGAGGGGAGCTGGGGCTGAGCCCTGCCGCAGCACTGTCGGGTCTCCGGGAGCAGCCGGACCCTCGGTGCATCGCCTCCGCACCCGGCTCAGCCTGTGGGACGTGGCTCTTTGTTAACTGCTAATGAGCCTCAGACAAAAAACCATTTACAGAGGTTGTCCAGCAGCTGTCCTGAGCAATAAATACATTTACTAAATTGGTGATTAGTCACAAGCACACTCAGAAGCCTGGATTATTCTCCTAGGTGTACTCATGATAAATTATTAATTAGGAATGATGCCAACAGATTCCAAGCATCTTATTAGGAGTTAGCTCAAATCAATATTTAACTGAAATGAAAGGAGTATCTAACTTAGCATGTGCTCAAGTGGGTCGCAGCAGCCCACCGAAGGTCAAACAAAACCAGCATCCACATGAGGCAGCTGCCAGGATTTCCTGGGATTCAGACCTCCAACAAGACAAGTTGCGTAAGCCTGAGCACAAGTTATTCTTGCTGGCCCGGTGGTTGAGGCCCCAGCCACTGACTCAGAAGATCCTGCTTGTATTTCCTTGTCTGCGTGTCCTTGGGCTACTGGGAAATACTTTAAAGGGATGCTGTGAGAATGAGCACGGCGGTGACTCTCAGACACTTCTGCTGGGAGATAATGGGAGATGCTTCAGCGATGAAAACAGAGATGGGACACATCCAGAACGAACGGGGCAGCAAATCCTGGCCCCAGCAGCGCAGGGATGGGGGATGCAAAGCTGATTGCAGCAGCACCACGGAGGCAGGTCCCAGCTGAGGATGATGGGCTGAACCTCCCCATAAACAGGACCTGGGGGGCTCTGGGATGGACAGACTCTCCCTGCCTCCGGGGTGCAGGTACAGGCTAACTGGGAAAGGGGAGCCTGGGACGTGCCTGGACAGCCTCCCAAAATTCCTGACTCACTGCAGAGACCAACACTTAGGGACCACTCCAGTACCAACAGTGGCCTCCATGGAGGGATGTAACCAGCTCATCCCTTGAGTGAGCTGTTCTTGGATTGCTTCCGGCTTTCCAGGCTCACGGCGAGGGGCTTTTGTGCTCTGCCCGGCATCTGCAGCGGCAGCGTGAAGGAAGGTGTGTCGGGTCGCCTTCCCGGGAGACTTAGAAATCTGCGCACTTCCTCTTGAGATTCGGAAATCTGCCTTTAGCTGAGCTTTTAATAGGTTTATTTTATTCACTCTTCCTATTTTTCCGCAGAGTTTATTCTGCTCCGGTGGCGGACAAGCAATGTGCGGGCTGGAAGAAGACCAGGACATGCCTGGGTGTCTCCTACACCGACCTGAATCCTCCCCATCAGCACCCCTGGGATGTGGCCTCTGCGTTCGGACCAGCACACCCTCCAGCCAAGAGCATCCTTGACACCCCGCTGTTGTCTGAGATGTTAACTCCTCAAAGCTGATGTCTCCAGGACAGCTGGATCACTCTTGGGTGGAGGCCTTTGCCCAAATCACACCGGTTGGATTTTTGTGCTGATTTCTGGGCTGCGATGAACCCCAAACCCCTTCCCAAATGTACTTTTGACACAAAAATAGCAATCTGCTCACTTTCACATGAAGTCAAGACCAGGTTTTTTTTCCTGGGTAACCTGAACAGATGCTGAAAGATTTTGTTGCACTAACAATTGAGAAAAGTTTGATTTTACACTCAGCTTGCCTGTAACCCACAAAAAATGACGGGCTGGGATGGATTCCTGTGCACGTATCTACATTTTACAGTTCAGGGTTTAACCTCTACCTACTGTACCTTCCTCCGCAGCCTCACGAGCTAACTGACGTGTCCTGGCCTCGCAGAGGAACCCAAAGAGCCAAAGCGTGTGACAGCCACACACCGCGTGGCCATGGGGACACACACAACCGTCCAGCTAGCCGTCAGACACCAATCCTGTTTAGTCAAAATATTTCCTGTTTCAAGCATTTATTTTCTCAAAATGACAAGCTGACAACAGTCTGGGTATGAGTCAAAGGAACGATTACTTTCCATTTTCTGGTTGACTCTTACGCATCGTCTCGCAGGCTGTGCTCTGCTCCCGAGCTGCAGGACGGCTGCAGAGAACTGAGCACGCTTCATCAGCACTTGATCACCCTTTTGATATCAAAATCCTCATGAACAGAATTACGAAGCATTGCCAATACGCTAAATAATCTCCTGCTGCTAAGCAATGCCCTAGTTGGCCAACGCTCTTGACTTTTCCCATTGATTTGGGACAAGGATGGTGACAATGCTGATCTTGGCGGTCTCCAGCACTGTCCCCCTCCCACCCCGCCGGTCCCCAGCGATGCCATTACCTTGTTTCTGGTTGATGTCGGCGGGCAAGTGGGGCGAGTGGGAGCCGTGGCTGAAATGGTCGTTGCTGTAAGGGATGAGCGGGGTGAGCGGGTGGACTCCATGGGACGGCTGCACGACGGGAACTTTGTTGGACTGCAAGAGACAAGGGGAGAGAGGGCTCAGAAGCCGTCGAGCTCCGCAAGCAAGGAGGGCCGGTGCCCTTTGCAATTCAGTGGAATTACTGAACGTCCCCGGTGTCTCTCAAGGGCAAGGCAGAAAAAGCCCTTTGCCTACTGAAATAAACACTACAGCATCCTGCAAGAAAAATCCCAAACCCAAGCAGTGACCACAGCTGAAGCCACTCGCATGGGTAGGGGGAAAACAGCTCAAGTCAACATGAATTTTGCAAAATTCAGAAGAATTTCTTTTTGTTAATTTCCAGTATCTCTTATTCCAGGATGAATGCTACGAGCGTGTTACCCAATGCATTGCTCTTGTTTTCTGCCTTGTGCTACCACAGGGTCTAAATCTAGACTTTCATATTCACTCTGAAAACCACGCTCGGGCGTTCCTCACCGGGGTCTCAGCAGGATGAACCATGCTGAGGACAATGCCTTTGACAATGTGACGTGGTCACCAGCGAGCCTTCGTCTGGAATCCCCCTTGGTCCGAACTCCAGCGGTGGGAGAAGGACTGGAGGGAGCTGAGGATGCAACAAACCCAGGGAAATTTAAAAAAAAAGAAAAATCCCATCTCCAGTTGCAGGTACTCCTGGTTACACACAGTGCGGCCACCGGAGCCCAACGTCTTTGTAAAAGGTGCTTTTCTGTGAACGCAACCAGGAGTACTTGTGCGTGTTGGAGCAGAGAGAGGGGAAGCTGTTCAAAAGAGCTGTAAGGAAAACACACACACACGCACACAGCCTCCTCGCCTCCAGCGACTCCGCTGCTCCCGACATGCCTGGTTTCGCCCATGGTTGCCTTGAAACCCAAACTGACTTCGCCTTGGTGGTGGAATGTTAGGATTTGTCCCGGATAAATCCAGAAAGACAGAGAGCACTCCAAAACGGGGAGAAAATGAGAACGGAGCAGGTAAGAGAGCTCTGCAGGTATTGCTGGCCAGACCTCGCGTGTGCCACCAGGACATCTACAGATGATCTGCTACGTGACTTTTGACGAGTCATTTACGATCTCTGGACTTGATTCACTGGTGCCTTTCACTCTGGTAATGATTTTACTCAGGCAGAGCAAGAGTGTAACACCAGTTGGCTTTGGTGGAGGTGGCACAGCCAGAGCCCATGGCTCTGGGGACATGTCCTGGACCTCTCCCTGCTGCTCCCAGACACTCGCCCAGCAGCCCGAGAGCTCTGGGCAAGTCCTGCGTTTTGCATCCCTGCACTGAGGAGGAGTCCCGTGAAGCGGAAAGGAAAACAGCCCGATGGAGATGCCGCTTTACATCTGCCTTTCCCACAAAGGTTTGCTCATGCAAATAAAAACCGGGAGGCATGCAAGTTTGCGTTTTAAGAATGAATGAAAACCCTAATTCCCGGTGCTTCCCGGGTGTCGATTTACTGCATACAGCGGGATACTGGGAATGTAACCCCCCTCCCCAGCACACACTGGTGCGGTGCAGGCGTTCCTGTCCCACAGCAGGGCCATGGGCGATGTGGTTTTCCCATCGAGAGCGGCGCTGGGCTGGCTCCCGCTTGGTTAAACACATGTTTGGAGCCCTGAGCTTTTACTATTCTTGCCCATGAAACGAGAAGAAGAATAGCTTTTCAGTGATATTTCTAAAATTAGCTCTGGCTTAGCTGATTTAAGAGCCAGAAAGCCTAAATTAGGGATCTGCAGTTCTACGTGTACATTTTAGCATCACACTGGAGCAGAACGATGCTGAGCTGTTCGGAAAACCTCAACTTCAGCATTTCTGCTGTTCCAAGCGGGGCAGATCCTTCCTTCCCATTCGCACCGTGCCTGATCGACAGCTCGGCACCATCCACCAGCCAGCTCCACTGTCTGATGACTATTAACAGCTTTTGGAGCTGTGACAGAAGACACAGCCCACTACAAAGGCAGCTGAACGGTCCTGATGCTGATCCATGAGATACTTCAGCAGTGAAAAGCCCAGAGCACGCGTGGCTGCAGCAAAGGCACAGGCAGAACACGGCAACTTGGTGGTACAATGGGCTGCAGCTCAGTTACTCAGATTTTCCATCAATTCAGATGGGAAACAAGACGTTGCACCAGTAAGAAGAGCTGGCCTTCCCCATGTCCCTTCCACGTGTGCACTCGCCTTGCTGCAAAACTTTTCTCCTGCTCTTTACAGTCATGGGGAAGGATGCTCAGGAGGGAGGCAAGGCAAAAATTCCTGCAAGAGGCTTTTCATCCACCTCTTGCTTCCCCCATTAGGAAGTTCATCACAGGAACCCATCTCCCACATGGAACCGACCAAGGGAAGAAGAAAGCATTGCAGAAAGATCTGGAGAAACAGAGAAGACGCCTTCAGCGTCGATCCCCAGTTTAAACACTGCAGCTGCTAATGGTCACAGTCCATGGACACGTCCGCAGCTCCTCTTCTTCACCAGATGCTGCTGCATGTGTCTTTGCTGTGAAATCATTCCTCGTTTAGAGAGATCTATAAAGCATCTAGAGAAACGGTATCTGGGCCCCAAGTCACCCCAAGTCACCTCCCAGCCTTCGGGCACCGCAGGAGGACATGGAAGAGCTCTGAGGACATCTCCGTCCCACCTCTCCCAGCACAGCCGGTTGAGGGCAGGTTGGGGAATGAGGCTTGCAGCCACCACCTCACTGCAGGAATGAAGAGAAACGTCTACAGCAACACCCGAGTGGTATTTCCAGAGGGGACTGAGCAGCAGAATGGGGTCTGCAAGCCTGGAGGACTTTTTTCCTTCTCAAAGTTGCTAAATTGCAACTCAGCCCTAAGTGCCCACCTCCCCGGCGAGCAGTTCTCGCTTGGGTCCAAATAAAACATCTA